GAGAAGAAAAGAAAAAGAAAGAATTATAATGGTGTATATTTCTTCTCAACCTAATACGTTGCGGACTTGTTCACATCCCGTTTCCTGAATATTTTGGGAAACGGGGCGTGACAGTTACATTATGTTTGGTTTTGACCTCACTAAGGAGGACCAGTTGAAAATAGACATGTACTGATCACATTGCATGTAATTTTCATGCTGCACATCCATGATTGATCTATGTCATTTGATTGTATTGGTATATGTGACCATTGATGGGTCGAGTCACGATAAATGTGACGAAGGCCGCTTTGATCCTATATTGATATAGTCAATGGACGAGATTGTTCGGAAATACCTTTTCAGTGATAGCAATTTTTGAGCTCATAAGGTTATACACAATTTAAGGAATCATATGGTGCCCAAGTGGGAGATTGTTGGATTTAATCTAATAAATCTATTTGTGGGCACATATGATTAATCAATGTGTATTGCTATCTTTCAGGATAACCCACTAAAGTGATCAATTAAGTTGGGTTAATGGGTATTTAAATATAATCATGGGGTTATATGTGCAGATACCAGGTTGTAATTGTGATTTATTGAGGGGCTAAATTACAAAAGTACAACATCTATAAATAAGGGGTTATGGTCCCTAATCTAGGGTTACTGCATTCTCTAATTCTCTTCACCCCCATCTAAGAGAGAAATTCGGTTTTAGAGGAAACCCTAAGGTTAGAAGATCCAAAACCCAAAATCAAGATCAAGCAATGATTCAGGTATAAGCTTCCGCTCTTTTGATTATTGTTAATCTCTTTGAATCAATCATGGGTATATGGTTTTAGATCTCAAGTTTTATGATGTAGATCTAACATGGTTCATTCTTAAAAGTGGGGGAAAATAGATGAGATGAGATGAGTTGTCATTATATTATTGGATGATGTGACACATACTTAGGAAAATCAATTTCCTCATTTTTTTGGTGAATAGGGATGGAAGAAAAATTTAATGAGATGTGATGAGTTGTCACCATATTATTGGATGATGTGAGTAATTTTTAAAGGTGATAGAAAATGAAGAAAAATGAGGGAAAGTGAGTTAGGTGAGTTGATTGATGTGACTCATTTCTTGTGTTTTGTTTATTTTTAAAAGTATAAAATGAGATGTGATGGGATGAGTTGTCACAATATTATTGGAGGAAAATGGAGAAAGTGAAGGAAAGTGGGGATGTGATGGGATGAGTTGTCACAATATTATTGGAGGAAAATGGAGAAAGTGAAGGAAAGTGGGTTTTGAAAAGTGGGGGAAAGTGAAAAAGTGAAGGAAAGTGGGTTTTGGATTCTGGGGGAAATGAAACAAACAGCCCCTAATGCACGTTTCGCGTTTTGGATCGAACTCTTTCTCATAGAGGTGAGGACGAGAAAGGCGTGCTTGTTTCGGTCAAGAGCTTAAGGGATTGCACTTCAGACGATAAGAGAAATAAGTCCGACAAAAGGTCATCTAGGAAAGCGTATGGTGAGGTTGCATGGCAAATAACCGTTCTAGTTTACATTTTTGCACGGACACGTGTCCTCCTATATCTTCTAACAGTAACGTGTTGAGATACTTTTCGAGCAAATAGAAGAAATTAAGGAGCTGCCACGTATCGTTGTAATATGATATAACAAGATCAGACAAAAAATAACTTGGATTGATATGTTGCCGCCCAATTATGGGCTTTGCAAATTGCATTAACACTAGTGTGCACCCCGTGCGAAACACAGCTCCCTATTTTTTTAAGCACTGCATTTTAAATTTGTTTTCCTCTGAGTTTTGATGCATTTGATTTGATTATTACATGCTTAAAATTAAAAATCATATCCGCTTTTCTATACTTAAAGAATGATGTAAGTTTTAATACATTTGATGTAGAATTCATATTTACTCCTTTATATTTAAAAAATGATCTAAGTTTTAATACATTTTATTTATAAATTATATCTATATTTAAAGAAAGATCCAAATGCTAATACTGCTTTATGTTATGCTATAGTATTTTTACTGTAGCAAGAACAGTACTAGCAAGAACAGTACTCCAAACGCATGAGGACATATTTGATTTACTGTTCATGCTACATAAAAAACAGTGATTTTTTTATTCTCCTTTTTACCGTGTAGAAGAAGAGTAGATTTTATTTCCACCTATGCAAAATGTAGTCACACTGTAAAAGTTTAGCATGTTACATGCTCACCACGTGACCAAAAAGAGGGAAATGCCTTTCAACCATCAAGACTAATGAAAACAAAAACAAAAAGGATAAGATGGTGATTTTTCAATGTTTAGGAGTATTTTTTATTTTTCAATCACGTAATTTGCATGTGGCCCATTAGATTTGACATGATTACTTCGGGATGTTAATAAAATGAAAAAAAAATGTCCGAGGCGTTTAGGGGATGTTTGGTTGTATGTTTTTACCATGTAAAAGGATGTAAAGTGTAAAAAAGTGGGTCTGAATGTCAGCTTTCATTACTTTCAATTATTTGTTTGTAGTTGTGAAAATAGTGTAAAGTGATTTCATACGCTGATGTGGTTTGTAAAGTGATTTCATAAAAAAAGACATGATTTTAGGAGAAAGCTGACATTGAAGTCAAGAACAATAATAAAAAATAATTCCAACCAATATGATCATTTGAATAGGGACAACTTTTTACACTTTCCAAACAAACAATTAAAGTTACATTTGCAAACCAAACAAGCAATTTATGATTCAAATGGAATTAAAAACAAACAAAGAAAAGAATAAGGGGCTGTTTGGTTGTATGTTTTTACCATGTAAAAGGATGTAAAGTGTAAAAAAATGGGTCCTAATGTCAGCTTTCATCACTTTACATTGTTTGTTTAAATTATCTTTTACATGAAAAGCTTACACCTTTTGATGAGGTGTCACCGAAAGCAAAATCACCAAAATTAGGAGTGATTTTGTTGGAAAGCTGACACAATATCATAAATGTGTCCAAATAATAATAATAAAGTCAAACCTTATAGGAAAGTGGTGATGTGGATAACTACTTTCCATTTTGTGTCATAAATACTCTAGTTTAGGGGCTGTTTGGTTGTATGTTTTTACCATGTAAAAGGATAGAAAGTGTTAAAAAGTGGGTCCCAATGTCAGCTTTCATTACTTTCAATTGTTTGTTTGTAGTTGTGAAAATAATGTAAAGTGGTTTCATATGCTGATGTGGCTTGTAAAGTGATTTCATAAAAAAAAAAGACATGCTTTTAGGAGAAAGCTGACATTGAAGTCAGAAAAAATAATAAAAAATAATTCCAACCAATATGATCATTTGAGTAGGGACCACTTTTTACACTTTCCAAACAAACAATTAAAGTTACATTTGCAAACCAAACAAGCAATTTATGATTCCAATGGAATAAAAAACAAACAAAGAAAAGTATACAAGTGAAATTGATGAGGTGGACAACAACTTTCCAAGTTGTGTCATAAATACACAATTTTACCAACAACAACCAAACAGCCCCTTACATTATACTATCCAAACAATATAATACTATTATTTTAGGATTCACAAAGATTTCTAATCAAACAATGTAAACACTCGAATGGAAAGTGATGAGGTGGATAACCACTTTCTATTTTGTGTCATAAATACTCTAGTTTCCTAAAGGCATCCAAACAGCCCCTAAAAATGAAATTGATGAGGTGGACAACAACTTTCCAAGTTGTATCATAAATACACAACTTTACTAACAACCACCAAACAGCCCCTTAGTGCAGCAGCAGAAGTTTAGGGGTTACGTGCGAACTGCGAAGGCCTAGTCTTTTCCGGGAAAAACAATTTTAGGGCGTTGTCTACAAGACCCCCGAAGTTCAAGGGATTTTCTGACATTAACCCAAAAAATACCCATGCGGATGATGCAAGGCGAATGGCCCAGTTCTGAAAGGATTAGGCAAATCTAAACCGCAAGTTACCCGACCCAATATCACCCCACCTCATCCATTCACACCCGTTCTCGGTCAACTGCACCACCAAAACGAACGGTCCAGATCAAACGGCAGGCTATAAATATGACCGCTTAGAAATGAGAACACAAACTCCTAACCTTTAATTATTTATAATTTATAATTAAAGACAGCTAAGTACAGCGCTCTATAACTATTTAAGCCGTTCGTTCTTAATCTTAACCCCTCAAAATCTTCTAAAAGAGCACCGCCACCGACCGCGAAATTTCCAGTCCGTTTCCCACAGCAAAGAATAAGTAATGCGTCATCAACTGGGTTTTTCTATGTTCTTATTACTAATTATTATTGAATAATGATAATACTTTCTTAATTTTCAAAGTTGATTTTTTTCCGGCTGTGGATTTATTTATAATGGGAACCGGGGTATCCACATTTTTTTTAATATATTGGCTCTTTAAATATTTTTTTTTTATAGAGTAGTTCCTCACGATCATTGAAATCGCTAATATATTACCTTAAATCTCTAGAGTGAAAAACCGTAGGAATTAGAAAATATACCGTCAAGCTTGAACTTTTTCGCATGGATATAAGGAGAATCTATTTTGTTGGATTAATATAAACTAGAGGAAAACACTAATACGAAACTAATTTCGGATAACTTTGATAGTTGGGAGGAAACCAATTACAAAGATTTAAGGGCTAATTTAAAATTATGAAAGATTCAGGGGCACCAGTACTAAAAGGTCCTATTTAGTATTTAGTGCTGTTTTCGGGAATCTTTGAACATTAAAAATCTGATTTTTTTATTAAATTACTATTTAACCACTAAATTCTGGTACTTATCAATTATAGAAGTTCAGTTAAGATTATTTAGCTAATGACAGAAAGAGAGCTTTCCGAGTAAATTATCAGCCAACAACTAATTCCGCGTTCGCCTCGTTCCATTATCTTCGTCTGCTTCTTCTATCTCTAGATCTGAGCTCTCTTCCATGAATCGACGGCGGAGGAGAGATCATCGAGCGTGAATCTTGAGGCGGCGATCGAGATCCGAGGGCTAAAATGGCGCGGCGGTGCCGACACCGGGAGCTGGTCCCGCTGGCGGCGCTCATCAGCAAGGAGCTGAAGGGCGAAAAGATCGAGAGGCCCTGCGTTAGGTTTGGATCCGCTGCTCAGTCTAGAAAAGGGGAGGACTATTTCCTCGTGAAGACGGACTGCCAGCGAGTTCATGGAAACCCTAATTCCACCTTCTCCGTTTTCGCGGTAAGAGAAAGTTTTTTTTTTGTGTATTATTGAATGCAATTAGATCTCTAGATCTCTTCAAGTTCATCGTTAAAGTTTGAAGCAGTTGCAATTTTCAATACTTATAGCTTTTCTGGCTTGTAATTTTAGATGATTTTAGGAGTTTTCAGCCAAAAAAATGAGAATTTTTTTTAGTGATACTCAGAACTTATGATCAGTTAAGAGATATTTGCTCAGACGCTCAGCTTTTGGAAGTTTTCAGTACCAAGAAAGAAGTTTGAGATGTAATTAGGGCTTACAAGCTGACAGTTTTGACTGATTGCTATGTATTTAGATCTTTGTAGTATCTTAAATGAAATAAAGAGTAGCAGATAGCATGGTTCTAATATTAATATACCCTCTATTTTTATGTTGCTGCATTTCTGATCTGAGGAAGGAAGAACAGGGTGCACGGTATTGTGTTAAACGCTTGTTCTCAATGAAATACCAGTCAGATCTTTCTAATTGCAATGAAGTAATATGACCAATTACTTTTTGTTCTCAAAAGTTTTAGTCTTTTATGTTTCAGAGTAAGACATATAGTATTTGCAACTAGGTCGTAATAAGAACCAATGGTTGAGTTCGAAGTTGTGATCACTTCTTTTCACTAGTTTGGTTCATGTTTTATCTCCTTGGCTCCTCCATACCGCAGTTGATGAATTTAATGAAACACAGGTGTTTTTTATATGAAGTTTGTAATAAAAAGAAGAAGGCAACAATATGATATTTATGAACGGTCTATTTGAAGATAATCACGCGCCGAAGCAAAAAATTTCAGGTCTTTGACGGACACAATGGAAATGCTGCAGCTATATTTACTCGGGAAAATTTGTTAAGCCATGTATTGGGTGCCATACCTCGCGGAATTAGCAGAGATGAATGGCTTCAAGCCCTTCCTCGTGCCTTAGTTGCTGGTTTTGTGAAGACTGACAAAGAATTCCAGAGCAGAGGTATCTTTCCACCCTTTGCTTCCTAGTCTCAATCATTCAAGCTTTAGTACTTGTATTATTTTTTGTAAATGAAATACAATTGGGTGTTTGACAATGCTTGCAGGAGAAACTTCTGGTACCACAGCGACATTTGTGATAGTTGATGGATGGACTATCACTGTTGCCTCTGTTGGCGACTCTCGTTGCATTCTTGATTCTCAGGGTGGAGTTGTTTCACTCTTGACCGTTGATCATAGGCTAGAAGAGAATGCTGAGGAGTGAGTTTCCTTGTTGGAGTTTCTTTGTGTTAGTTTCACTTCATCATCTTAATTCAACTGAATTCATGTTATGTTATGAACAGGAGAGAACGTGTGAAAGCTAGCGGAGGTGAGGTGGGGAGACTTAGTATTGTAGGTGGTGCTGAGGTGAGTTTTTCTTCTATTTGATCTGTTAAGAAAATTGTCATAGGAAAACTAAAGGACAAATTTTCAAAACAAACCCTTTTTGAAACTTATTTTTAAAAAACGACATGTTTCAACTTTAATTACCAAAACCGACCTAGTTTCAGCCTCAGGGCTGAAACTGGGTCGGTTTTGGCGAAAAAGTTCCCAAACTTCATGGGAGTTGAACTCCCGTGAAGTTTTTTACATAACAAAACTTCACGGGACTTCAAGTAGCTTGGTCTATTTGAAAACAAACAAATGGCTTGTAAGCTTAATAGAGTAACAGTCAGCGTGTTTGAAGTCATCCTCACATTCTTTATTCTTCTAGGAAAACTAAAACATGATGTCTTGCTATTGAGAGGGAAGGCAAGCTTCCCGTAGCTTGGTCTATTTGAAAACAAACAAATGGCTTGTAAACTTAATAGAGTAACAGTCAGCGTGTTTGAAGTCATCCTCACATTCTTTATTCTTCTGGCAATCAAATAATAAAAGGTTCTGTTTTCTTATACAACAAGGGGAAAGATATGCATTAACTCATGATTTCTTATTTTAGTTTCTTCAATGTGTTGTGTAATTTTACAGATTGGCCCCCTTCGTTGTTGGCCTGGGGGCCTATGCTTGTCAAGGTCAATTGGAGATATGGATGTTGGGGAATTTATAGTTCCAGTACCTTATGTCAAGCAAGTGAAGGTATTCTGGTCCCTATTTTCTTATATAAATCCAGAATCTGTACTTCTCTTTCTTCTCTTCTTCCTTTGTCCTAACAGTATTCATTGTACTGCCAGCTATCCAGTGCTGGCGGAAGGCTAATAATTGCTTCAGATGGTATCTGGGATGCCTTACCCTCTGAGATGGCTGCAAAGTCTTGCCGGGGTTTACCTGCAGAGCTTGCAGCTGTTCAAGTTGTAAAGGTGATTAATACTAGCCCTAGTCTTATATCAGTTTTCAGTTATTGTTACTTGTAAGCAATCTTTTGATTACAACATTTCTAGAGCACTCGTCAGTTTTGATTTTATGCAATATGGATAACCTGACTCATTTATGGTCAGCAACTCACGTAAGCTTATAAATTTCAATTTAGGAAGCATTGAGGACAAGGGGACTGAAAGATGATACAACTTGCATTGTTGTTGATGTAATCCCACCTGATAATTTGGTGGTCACGCCTCCATCGTCACCAAAAAAGATGAGCAAATTTAAGTCATTCTTCAGGAGACGATCAAGAGATTCTGCAAGTAAACTGACAAAGAAACTCTCTTCTGTGGGTATAGTCGAAGAGATATTTGAAGAAGGTTCTGCAATGCTTTCAGAAAGGTAAATACTTGTAGATGAATGCATTATTTACTAATCTCGAGATGGAAAAATGTTTTGCATGGAAAAATTTACAGTCTTCGCAAGTTCATCTATTTTCTTATCCATATGATAGATCCTTTATTTTGTTTTACAAATTTAAAGTTTTGGATGGTTAAAATTATTCATTCTAGCTGAACGTCAGTTTGCCTATAGGATGTTTGTCTGCGTGCTTCCTCTCCCTCCCTCCCTCCCTCCCTCTCAATATTATAGCTATATGTTGTACAAAAATGTTTTACTTCCTGTAAACCTGAAAATGAGCTAGATTTGTGAACTATGCTTTTGAACTGTTGCATAGTTGAAAATTGCAATGTCTCTGCTCATATTATTATTTATTAATAGTTGAGATGCACGTGCAATGCACGTGGTTGGATTTTATTATTATTTAAATTGATAAAAATAGAATAAAAATAAAAAAATAAAGTTTTTTGGGATTGATCCATCAACCTAATAATCTCTCTCAAGTGAAATATTGTCATTGTTTCTTTTAACCCAGACTGTGACCACATGGTCTACTATTTGTGAGTTATAAACACATTAATCTAGTACAACATCTCTATTTATTAGTATCTTGAAGTCTTCAAAAGTTGGGTAATCATTTAAATCGCAAAGGAATTTTGCATATGAATTTACTTATAATATGTCCATTAAACTTTTACTTGTGGTTTGATTCATATTCACATTAACTTTTAGTTATGGTTTCACTCATATTTATATTATCTACTATTCTCATTCTATTTTATAGCTCATTCTCCATATTATAGAAGTATGAAAGTACGAAAAATTATTTTCTTGCGAAATTAGAATAGCGAGATTATGATATATTTCATCATGTGCTCTAAATACAAAAAAAAATTCTTTGATGCAAGGTGCTTATCAAATCTTGGCCTAAACAATGTGAATTAAAAATGTTATTATAACTCACTTGCCTAGGGAATTGTATTGTATATGAAACATATAACTCATCTGGAATATCCACATCTGCTAAGTGGATTTTGCTATTGTGAGCAAAATATTGGAGGCTCGTATTCAAAATTTTTGACTCTATAAAAGACACAAGAATTTGGAAACATTGATTTTATTATATAAGATACTGGTTCATGAAGAATTTTCCCTAGAAACGATATTATTACAACGATATTACTATTCAGTATTAAATCGATTTTATTATATAAGATTATATGATTTTTTAATAAATTATAAAGTATAAATGTGGAAACATTGATGCTTATAGCCAGTAGTTTGGCTTCACAAAATAGATTAACTTTACATTGTAGTTTGCTATTGGTAGTATTGTTGACGATGTCATTACCTATCATCTTTATCTTATTATTCACGCTTTTCTGATGTAAGTTCTCTTTTGCGAATCACTCAATTGGCTATATTTAGTTTTTATAATATCAGAGATTAGAATATTCTCTTATGCTTAAAAAATATTGATATGATTTTTTTTAAAAATATATACACATAGTGACAATAGTATATATTTCAGTTCAACTTAAACATTGGCTTGAAACCATTTAGAGTGAGGTCCTTTCTACGCTAGGATGGTGATATAGTAATTACACAATTCAAAAGTCAAAGGAGATATAAAGGAAAAGTAATTTAATATGTTAAATTAACAATTAATTTATAAAATATACATGGGCAGTGCAGATAGCTATAGAAAATAAGGTATATATCTTCATGAAAATTTCATAGTGAGTGACCAACTACAATCATCCTAATTTAAGCATAAATAATTATTAATTTAGTTACTAATTTGATGCCCATAATTATGGAATAAATCTCAAGAAAAAATAGGAATTGAGATTGTATTATCCTGTAGGTAAATAAATAAATGTTATTAGAACTTCTCTTTATATTAAATTTAAAAATAATAATTTAAATTATTAAGCACCAAATATTAGTTTATGTGAGAAAGGAAAGTAATCTATGGCCTATATACCTATATAGTCAATCAATGAAACATATTAAAATTATGATGATCACAATCAAAATTATATGGTGGGTTCATATTAAATATAATTTATAAAAAATAATACATTAAAGTCAAAATCCTTTTAACAACTATATAGATTGTATAATTTTTTTTGCATATATAAACTATACTGCCTAGGAATAGTAACGTGCACACTTAACTATAGCCTAATACATCTTAAGAACGACTTACTAATCAATATCATCATCAATTGACGTATCTATGCATTACACTGCAAATACAATAAAAATTTAGAAAAGTAAAAAAGAAACACCCTTATAAGTTTTAAAAAACTCTAAAATTTTATAATTTGCAAATACACAAAATTATTAAACATTACATTAAAATCAAGGAATTATAAAAAATCATTAAAATTTTTTAAACTTTGAAAGGTTATTTTACTATGTACTAAACTTTAAGAGTGTTTTTTTATAAATTTTAAATTTAATTAATTTTTAATTAGTTGTGTTCTTTTCCAAAAAAAATTATGGTAATATTGACCATGAAAAAGTTTTCCTAAACCTATAGTTTTAAAGAGAGTATGATATTTTTTGTAAAATTTTAAATTTTTAAGGGTTGTTAGTAGTTTTGTATATTCATTTTAGTGTCTATAGGTTAGAATTTCTCATGGTGTTTTTTTGTAAATTATGAATTTTAGGGGTTTTTGTAATTCTTTAAACTTATAGACCTTTTCTACAGATTGTAAATTAGTTATAGACAATTTATAATTCCTATATTTTCAATTTAATAATGAGTTTGAAATTCTCAGGGTGTTTTTTGTAAAATTTGAATTTTAAGGGTTTGTTTATAAAGTTTAAAACTTTAAGAATTGTTTACTATAAATTATATAAATTATGTAGGGGTATTTGTAATTCCTATATTTTTAATGAACTGTTAGGTTGGAAATTATCAAGATTTTTGTAAATTTTATAATTTTTAGGGTTTTATTTTACAATTTGTAAAAAGTTCAAAGTGTTTATTACAAATTCCATAAAATTTTGGGATTGTTCGTGTTATTTGTAGTTTTTAGTGTGTTTATAAGTTTGAAATTTTCAAGGTGTTTTCTATAAATTTTGAATTTTTAGGAGTGTTTTTATAATTTTCAAAACTTACAAGATATTTTCTCCAAAGACAAAAAACTTTCAGATTCTAGCTAGCATATGTTTTTCAGATTTCTCACTAAATTAAAATAAGCAAAATTTATAATTTTTAAGATGTTTTAAAAAAATTTTAAATTTGTAGGGGTGTTTTTAAAATTTAAAAAATTTGGAGGATATTTTTTCAAAGTCCAAAATTTTTTAGGTGCTGGATAGCATATGTCTTTTAGATTTTCTACGAACTGAAATAAGTAAAGGATTTGAATTATATCAAACGTATCTCATTTATCCAATAACATGTTAAGTCTCATTATGAATAGGATAAATAATTTAATTATCAATTCAAAAAAGATAAGATAATTAGAATGGATTAGGATAACAATGTAATATTTAAAAAAAAGTTAAGGGTAATATTGACCATAGAAAGATTTTCCTGAACTCGTACTTTTAAAGGGAGTATGATTAGAGAATGCCGTGCAAGACCACGGGCTCTTTTTTGGGCAATTTTTCTTTTTCAAACAATTTAACAACAGTAGGCCGCCCATTTCCCCCAGACACTTAAGTGCCCTGCTGTTTCACCCTTAAACCTTATTTAAAAGGTCGTCGACCATGGCTGAGAGCTTTCTACTGATTCCCGTCTCTGAACTATCTTCACCTTCTAAACTCTGGCTTGGTTCACATTTCTCATATCCTGTACATAAACTAGATGAACCATGAATGTGCATGAGCTTCACATCCAACTTCAGTCCCACTAGAATAGGGCACTTGTTTTTTTGAAGTTTGAAAAAATAATTTGGCGCAGAACTTAATGCTTTTATCCCTAACACTCGTTTCTAATAATATTTTGTCATTGACATGGTTTGTTGATTAACATTTATTCCTTCTTTAATGTGATTTTTTGGGTAATGATATTCCTCTTACATTGTGAGCATATCAACTTAATCCGTGTTGTATTCTCTAAAATTAGGCATTCTGTGAATCCTAATGACCTAAGTCATCAAGGTGAAGTCTATGAGCAAGTTTTTCCAAAGGAAGCGAATTCTAGGGTGAATTAATGGAAATTGGCTTGCAAGATAGGTGTCTAGAAATCATGTGCAACACAACTCTAGTCATCATTGGGATTTCTTAGCCTCCAGATTGTACATCTCTTTTAATTATGATAAACTCATGAACATTTATTGATTAACATTTATTCCTTCTTTAATGTGATTTTTTGGGTAATGATATTCCTCTTACATTGTGAGCATATCAACTTAATCCGTGTTGTATTCTCTAAAATTAGGCATTCTGTGAATCCTAATGACCTAAGTCATCAAGGTGAAGTCTATGAGCAAGTTTTTCCAAAGGAAGCGAATTCTAGGGTGAATTAATGGAAATTGGCTTGCAAGATAGGTGTCTAGAAATCATGTGCAACACAACTCTAGTCGTCATTGGGATTTCTTAGCCTCCAGATTGTACATCTCTTTTAATTATGATAAACTCATGAACATGCACATACAACTGAATCTGACTACAGGCCCGCGGTTTCGGATTTTGTCGCACTTTCATGATGAAATAGCTATCAAAAGTTCTTTCTAACCATACTTTCCATAATTAGGTCCATGCTTTGACATGGTGCAAACCATGACAGATGCAATTGGAGCTTCCTAGCCTTTCCCCCAGTCCCAAGGTGTAATCCTGTTACTTTTAAATTGATTGCAAAGGGTCTGGCTATTTAAATATTGAAAATGTAATATTTGGCTCCGAAGCCTCCACTACCATAATGGGAGCTAAAGTTTGACATTTGAGTTGTCATACATTTTGGAGGTTTATAATGACCGGAATTATTGGACACCACACTTTCATCATTATGAAATCTGAATGTGCACGTCCCAGGCTTGGCTTTGTTTTCAGTTAGCTCTGATTGTTAGTAACATAATAAAACTAAGTTTATTTGATAAAAAGGTTTCTATAGCTTGGCAGGAACTGAGACTAGTTCTCAAATGCAACAATTATAAATTGACTCTGATCATTGTGTTTCATTAACTTAAAATCACATCATACAAATTCATATAACTCTTTGAAACTCTTCCTGACCCTTTAACTAACGAATAAGTTTCCAGTGAAACAGGCTAATTGGAGCCTGAAAGAGCAATGACTTGCTAGATAGCTAGCTTTCACCGACTGAAAATACCAAAGTGTTTCAAAGAAGGATTGCCTTGACTTAGGTCTGCCTCCGGCCTAGATTAGCCTAAGTTAAGGATTGCCTTGACTTAGGTCTGCCTCCGGCCTAGATTAGCCTAAGTTAAATGGAGTCTCTATCGCTCGGCTGTAAGAGTCAAATATGAGACTTCATACACCTTAAAGTTCATAGGACGAAAAGAGGTTCTTTTGAGTCCCTTATACTCATTATGCCTAGCATTGAATGGACTGGGTATTTACCTTATCAATTAACAAATCAATGGCTGGTTCTATTTGATTTGGCACCTGAATTCGCACTCGAATCGGATCGAACCAAATATTTGTCAGGCTATTGTTCTCTTGTTCCTTCGAATCTATGGAGTAAGACATCAATCGGATCGAACCAAATATTTGTCAGGCTATTGTTCTCTTGTTCCTTCGAATCTATGGAGTAAGACATTGAAAACTCTGTCAAGTACCCTTTTTTGCTTCTATTTAGTGGGGACTTGTCAGGAAATCTTGTTATTCTCTTATTAGAGGTTGGGATGAGATGTCTTCTCACATATATAGGAAAGACCAAAATATGTTTTGCTAATTTACTTTTCTCAGTTAAAAGTCTGGGTATCATTGAGCTTTGTCAGACAACTTGCAAACTGTTCCATGTGCAAATACTTGCCAATAAAACTTGGAAAAGGATTTTGCAACAATGTCCGCACTTATTTTAAGCTAGGTTTTAAGGACACACAAACATGATAATTTATACATATGCAGCCTCATGCACATCACACCTAATAGCGCAATTTGTCTGCCTCCTGGATCATAATGCTTCTCCAATGTTTCAACATTTACTGTATCTCCTTTCTTTGGTATGACTTTATTGTCTTAATCATGCAAAGGTTTCGTCCCTGTTTCATTTTGGTTTGGGTGAGAACTGGTCAGAAACTAGCATATGGTTTTTGGCTGATATGCATTTGTATCTGTTGGTTTAGATCTGGTTCTATACTAGTTTTCCCCAGTTTAAGTGAAAATTTATCTTAACTGAGCGAGACCTACTGAAACCTATAAGAAAACCAAAGGAAAACCAAAAGCGAAACGTAAGCTATCACGTTTAAGAAGTTTTTATCTTGATTATGAGTATAAATTTAATTTCGCTTTGAACATTTGACTTCATGTTACTGCATTTGTTTTTTGCTTTGAACATTTGACTTCATATTACTGCAGTAAGTTTATTTTCTCCTGATTAAACGCTCAGCTTACGTGTTTATATTATATGCTTCTCAGGCACTGCACATGTAAAATACCAAATATGACCCCCATATTCAGTGGTCGTGGACACTATGTCTACATCTTTATATACAATGAAACGGAAACTGAATCTAGAACTTTGATCTAATGCACTGATTTATAGTTAGCATATGATATTTAGTACCAAAATTGGCCTCATTATTAATATTTAATCTTGCTTGCTTGTATTACATGACCTGTTTACAAATTGTAACATTCTTCTATTTCTTATTTCAATGTTGAATTCTCAGGTTAGGAAACGAGTCATCGTCATCTGTGCATACGTCAGCCGGTCTATTTATGTGTGCAATATGCCAAATGGACCTCGCCCCAAGTGAAGGCATATCAGTTCACGCAGGCTCTATTTTCTCTACAAGCTCCAAACCATGGGAGGGTCCTTTCCTCTGTGCATCTTGCCGTAACAAAAAGGACGCCATGGAAGGCAAACGCCCGAGTGGTTTTAAAGGGCTATAGCAATCTTCTCTCTCCTCCCCTTTGATTTTTTTTCCCGTCGACCGTCTGTCTAATCTCCTCTATTCTTAGTTCTTAGCTTTTCTGATTAAATTTCATATTTATAGCCATTTTTTTGGGCTGCCTGATTATTTGATTCCTGGAAAGATGAGGGTTCCTGTATGTAATATGCACGTTAAACTAGTGGCGATTGATAGTTTATGATATTTGAAATTGATTCTTTTTTATGTATTGGATCGGTGTACTTGTTGTCAAGTCTTTGTGTAAGTAATTATGTTGGTTAAAGATGACAACACGCTCCTCGTATTGACTGAAGCAAGTAATCATCTTTTGTGGAGTTTGCAAATGCTCATGTTTGATGCTTCATTATTTACTGACTGTTCTCATGTTCTATCCGATTTGTATGCACTGAATCATTGCATCTCATATTGCCCGTGTAGCATACGGAGAATTTGATCAGGGCACTGCTTGTATGAAATGATCATGAAATAGGTGAGAACATCATGATGAAATGCTCAAGACGTTAAGTAAAGTAGACGAAGGCGCTTGAAGCATCCTCGTATCGGTACTTTCTTCAATCTAAATCTTGATTGGTGCCTCTTTTCTTTGTTCCTTTCAGCCGATCTCATGTCGCCGAGACATTCTTTTGTAAGTTCATAAGGGAATAAGAACTGAGCTAGAGCCTAGAGGTACTGATCTAGGAAAAGCAATTCTCCTGGCATCATCGTCAAGCGTCCTCTGTATTTTCTGACGAATATTAAAATTCTGATGAAGACTAGCCAAGTTGCCCGCTCTCTATATACACTTAAACGAATATTAAAATTCGAATATTTTTTTTTATTTATCAAAACCGACCCGATTTTGTGATTAACCGGCTAATCACCTTCCTAAATAATCGGGGTTGGCAACCCCGACTATTTAGGACCTTAATTTTTAGTGTTTAAGGCCTCTAATTAGGGTTTAATACCCTCCTAAATAGTCGGGGTTGGCAACCCCGACTATTTAGGATGGTGATTAGGCTGCTAATCACAAAATCGGGTCGGTTTTGATAAATAAATAAAAAAAACCGGTCGATTTTGAAAAATAAAACTCTAAAGGGGTCTGTTTTGAAAAATTGTTCTTAAAATTCTAATAAAGATGCCCAGTGGAAGTCAGTAAACCCAGGCCTGGTAACTGTAATTAGAGTAATATTACTGGTTTGCAGAGGACATCAATCTGAACCTTTCACTTGTTAAGGGTTATCCTTTGTAGTAGTGAAAAAAGAAAGTAAAGAAAGCGAAGCAGAGTTGAATTGGTATCGGGTCGAGCAACCGGGTCGCTTACCCAATTACAGATTCATCAACTATCGGGTAATCGGGTCGACCTTGGGAACCAAAAGGAGCGGGGTCGAGAGCGGGGAGGAGCAGGAAAAATTATGTTTGCGACGGCGGCGAGAATGATGTCGGCGGCGAGGAAGGGGAAGCCCAAGATGAAGCCCATAGAGCCGAGGACGCCACCGGAGCAGACCCAGACTATAACCAGAGCCATCTTCGACGTCATCAAGGAGCATGGGCCCCTCACCATCGCCGACGCCTGGGCCCACCTCAAGGTCTTCCCTTCTCCCCCTTTTTTTTTTTTTCCTTTTGTTGTTGATGGACCAGTACTTGCACATCTAAGAGATTTAGATGAAGCCCAAAGTTTGAACAATGGTAGTCCCGATCATTTGCTAGGTAGAGCATAGAAATTTATATCGAATCAGTCTTTGTTCAGTGATCTATGTAGAAAATTTTTGGACTTGCAGCCGATTTTCACAGAGTGGGCAACAAATAATCGGATTATGATTAATTACACTTATTTGAATTTTTAAAAAATATATAAAAGTTCATAAAGACAGAAATGTACCTATTACCTAGGGGGGAAAAAGATAGTAACTTGATTTAGGCACATATAGCGTACTGAAAATATACCAAAATTCAAAGGAAATTTGCAAAATGCCTTTGTCAACAGCGATGAAGGTCTTGGAAGATGCGAAGAAGGCCAATAATGGCTTTCAGATAACAAGCGACGAAGGATGCCAGGGTTCGGAGAAGAATCAACAAATGATGACAAGAAAAATAACCAAGTTGGCATGGAATTTGAAAGTGTAAAAGTTGCACGTGTGCTGTATAATGACTATAGTTGATAAATTAGTTTCAATATCCATAAAGAAAACTAGAGTCCGATAGAGTAGCTCTATTGAGAAACATCTTGTGCAAAGGAAATATTTTGACATAAAGATAAGAGAGATGTCAAAATGCTTCACTGTAAGCCAATTACAAGAACATGTTGCAAAGTATGAATGCAAATCAAGTTAAAGAAAAATGGTAAAATGTTGCCTCATCAAATTTGAGGTGAAGCGTAATCATGATGCAATAAATCATGAAAAAGCACATATTTTTAGTTCACAAATGAAATTTACAAAAAATTCAACCCGATTTCTTTGCGTAACACAATCCAATAAAATGAAAAAAAAAGGTATCACATCACCTTTACTGGAAATACATTCAAAGGATGCAGTTGGCTAGGTTGCATGGGTATGGATAACAGTACTGGTATGGGTACGGGATACGACAAATTTGTAAGGTACGGGAAGACCAATATTGTTTTTTCATTTATTTAAGATCAATATATAAGAAATAAATATGAAGTGTAAAATATGCATCCAAAAAGTGCATGTGAAATGTTTTAAATTAAAACATGTATTATATGATTGAGTATAGGCCCAAAAACATATGCATATATTCAAGAAGTGTCCAAGAGCTTTGGGTACGGGTACAGGCACGTGTTGGTTAAGGATACGACTTCCTAATAAAAGAACCCCGGTAACATAGGTAGTTGGAGAACATGTGTTCTTTTATTGCATTACTGATTGATGAGCCAAGTTAATGACAGTTAATGAATACATTTGGGCTTATTGAAGATGTCTTCTGGAGTACAGAAATTATGGAGACATTATTTGTTTTGATACTACACACAAGTATAAGATAAATAAACATGGACAACCTCTGTTACATTTGTTGGGCAAGTCATCATAGGCAAACAATAAGATTGGTGTGCACTCTTAAATAAGATTGGTGTGCACTCTTATATGATGGAATTGTTGCTTCCTCTCAATGGGTCTTTTGGAACTTGCTAAGTCAATGTTCGGAACCAAGTAAAAAAAAACTATTCTTATTGATCAATGTGCGGCAAGGGCCAAAGCAAGAAAGGCAATGTTTCAAAAATACATGATTGATCATGCATGTGGCATAGTTGTCTGAATGCTGCAAAGAACCTTAAGAATATATTTGCAGTTAATCAATACTTGCTTCTGGATTCGTTATTGGGTATTGAATCATGTGGAAGAGGAATACTTCTTCGTAGTTGGAAAGAATTTAAAAGAGAACATGGTTTTGAAGGTGACTCTTAGTTGAGTATTGTGTTTAAACAAAAAGAAAAATAACTTTTGGTATATATTTGTAATCCTTTTCTGCATACACGGTAAGTATATAAATAAACCGAAGTATTAGTTTATTTATGAAGAAGTACTTGAAAATTGAAATGTTCAATATATTTAGTTTCAATGTTTTGAACATTATGATCAATTCATTGTTGATCATCATTATGAAGAATAGTTCATTGATTTTCATTGTTTGGACACCCTTTCTAGACACCTGTCTAAGCCTAAGTAGTAGCTAGGCTGCCCGCCTAAATCTTTGGAGCGCTTAGAGGAGCATGGGTGGCTTAGGCAGGCTGCACTGCTGAAAAAGAGGTGTATTGCTTGCTTAGGCGTAGTAAATGATAAAAAGAATGAGCCAAGTCAAAATAGATCAGGTCAAAACTCATTATTTAAGTTCAAAGTAAGGAGAATAGGATTTTGAATCTTTGAAAGGAATCCTTACTCTATTGACGCTAGAAACGCTAATGTGTCGCTTAATTGCATGCATGTGCAATAGTCGCTAGGTTTGTCCCCCAATAGTGCCTATTGCTTTTTTAAAAATTGTTGATTTTAACACATGACAAACAACTTTAATGGTGCATCTAACTCTAGAATGCTGAACTAAGCTACGAATCTATATATTATGGAGGCAGATGAATTGTTTAAAGTGTAATATATGAAGTTTCTTGATTGAATTCTAGTAAATATAATCAAATTTCTACCAAGAAATGATGAATAATCATACTAATCAAAATAAATAATTGTAACATATATACATCTTGTCATGTACACTAACTCAATTATACATCACAATCAAGAATCTTCTTATATTGCAATTTAAATAATTGATATGCCTCTCAAGTGTGTATCACTTGGTTTAGCATTCTAGAGCATATATCACTACATTTATTTGACATGTTCTAAAATCAGTGAAGTATTCTTCGTAAAGATGATCAATGAAGAATTAATCATAATGTTCAAGAAATCAAAACAAATTATATTGAACATTCAAGTTTTTTTTTCAAAATGGAATTAATACTTTCGCTCATTTGTGTATTGACCATGTCTACACAAAATGACTATAATCGTATATCTTAGCCCATTTTTCTTTTTGTTTGAACAAATCATTCATCCACAGTCACCTTCAAGACCATGTTTATCAATTAGATTCTTCGAAGTTGCAACAAAGTCTTCCTCTTCAACATGATTTATGCACTATGAAATTCAGAAATAAATGGTAATGAACTGCAATTGTATTCTTGAGATCCTTTGTAGCACCTAATAGTTGTACCAAATGCATAAACAATGATATTCTGTTTCTTGAAAAGCTGCAACACACTAATTGGTAAGAATAAGTTTTGGCTTATTTATCTTATATTTCAAAACAAATGACGTCTCTGAAGTTAGTATAATTCCACAACCAAACGCATAAACAATGATCTTCCGTTTCTTGAAAAGCTGCAACACACTAATTGGTAAGAATAAGTTTTGGCTTATTTATCTTATATTTCAAAACAAATGACGTCTCCGAAGTTACTATAATTCCACAATGCTTCCTATATCAACCCAAAACATATTCTTTAATTGGCTTGCTCATCAATCTGTAATGTATAAAAGACAGAATTTTCGAGTGCATCCTTTAAGAATATTCTAGTAAAAATGTTGTATTGTGTTTTACCCATTTTCTTTTGTCTTGTATTACGTAAAGCACTTTTAATATCCATCTGAATGTAACTAGGATTTTCACATCTTCCAACCTCCACCATTTGTAGATACCATTTGTAGATCAAATATTAGTTTACGTTTAATTCTCTATCTGTCACCTGAAAGAACTTAGATCTATTTGGTTTGTATCTTTTTTTTTTTTGAGCATGTGTGCTTTTCCATTATCTTTTAATCGATTTGTGATAAAACATTTTGACATTTCTCGTATCCTTGATGCGGAAATCCTTCTTTTTGCACAACACATATTTCTAACGTTGTAGGTAAGAACACAAATATTTCTTCATTCATTTCATGAGAAAATGAAAGTTTAAGCAGCGTGACAAAAAGACCTTCTATTAACTTACAAATTGCATAATTATTTGATTATTTGAAAACACAATTCACAAACCTAATATATTTGCAAATAAACTAAAAGAAAAAGAATAAAAAAGTAAAGAGGAAAAAAGCAATAACTGGATATTTGCTTATAAAAATTTCACCCTAATCCCTATATATGCACGATCGTAGGCCGATCTTGTTGCTTCTCCTTCTTCTATGTTCCCTTCTTTAAGATGTCAAAATTCAATGATGTAAAAAATTGAAACCAATTCCATTAGAATAATATTAAAGAAATATCCCAAGAACCCACCTTTTCTATAACTGTAAGCAAAGCCAAGACATACCCAAATTATCAAATTAAAAAACAAGATCAAAACGCAAAACAAAATTCAATTTCCTATTCTTTACCTATTCTCTGTAACTGATGCTTGGGATAGAGGCTTTAGATTAGGGAAAAAATACACCATTTTTAAATTCTTCAATAATGCAGTTGTCTTAGTAGTTTCCGCAATTATATACATAGTGTAAAAGTTGTGAAAAACTGCAGACGAATTATGGTGATTTGTTCCCATCCGAGACATATCCTATTTTCTTGTTTTGCATTCTTCCTTTCTCTTTTTGGAAAAAAAGGAGATTACATGGAAAATCTTTTAGGGATGATGTTGTTCTCAGCTTTATTGTTGCCGCTTTAGCTTGAGATAAACCTAATCAAAGATCAGTACCAAACCCTAATCAGAGATCGAGCTTGAGATAACTTAATCAAAGATGTTGAACAAACCCTAATCGGAGATACAATCTTTATATTTCAGGAACTTCTCTTTTTACGATTTTATGAAATGGGCAGGAGTTCGATGCGTACAGTGTGTTTTTTAGTAAACAATTTAGAAGGGTCATATATGAGTTGACCCATTTAATAAATAGGTAAGTTCGGGTTGACTCATACATGACCCATACCCATTTATCTCGACCCCTACCCGTCAATAACGGGTTAGGTTAGAAATTGCTAATCTAAGCTAAGGATTGCCTAGACATACTTTTTCATGATTATGTGCATTATCCTTATTAAATAAAATTATCCTCATACATCAATTTGTAGTCACTAGACTATAATATAATTTCAAACCCTGAAAAGAAAACACATGGATACAAGACATTATGAGCACAAGATATGATAAACTAAATAACATAGAATTTAGTAAACATAAAACTTTCAAAACAAATTGAATATTCACTCAATAGATTTGAAATGATTAAAGAAAAGATCATTAGCTAAAAGTATTTTAGATGATTATTATAATCAAAGTTTAATTTGCATTGATCAGTTCTTTTACTTTCTTTTTGCATAGCTTTTTATATTAAAACAAGGGAAAAATGCTTCTCGCCTCGCATATCTGAGCTTCTCGCCTCCATTGTCTGAGCTTCCCCTCCTTTTGACACTTTTTCTCAAACCTCCCACCAAAAGATTCATGCCTTGAACCTCTTGTCAACACATGCATTTTTTAGTATCCTAAAAATCCCTAAATTACCTTCGGCATGTCATCACCCTCAACCTCTCATCTCTCACCCTTCTCATGTACCTATGAATTCTCAATATCGATCTCTTTCGCTTTTTCACCGTCCTATCTTTTGTTGTCACTGACCTCCGCTGTGGCCCTGAGTGAGACGACAAGCATGCCCGAGAGGAGGTAGACGTGAAGGCGGAGGATGAGAGGTTGGCGGTGAGACGATTGGCAATGGCAGAGGTGAAATCTTAAGTTCGTAACTTTTGGATTTTGTTGCTTTTAGGTCTAGTTTTGTCATCTTTAGCTATGAACCTTCAGCTTAATTGTGTTATCTTTATATTTTATTTGTTACCTTTGTACCTAATTTTGTCACCTCTAGCTATTAATTATTAACCTTATATTGAAATTTGTTCACCTTTAGTTATAAATTAACAATTTATAGCCTAACTTGTTACTTATAGCATAATTTAGTTACCTTTACATGTAAATTGTTACGGTCATTTTAAACTTTTTCACCTTTAGTAACGAATTATTATTTTTGTGTCAAACTTGTTACTTTTAGCATATTTTTCATAATTTTGTTACCTTTATCAAATAAAGAAAATGCCTTTAAGCTAAATGTACCTAACTAAGCGTGGCGAAATTCGACCTAAAGGTTTCAAGATATAAAAGTGTCAAAAAATCAAGGTAGCAAAAATTAAGACCTCTCAACTGCCACTGCCCACCACGAACTTATTTGCTGTCACCTGCCGCCTCCCTTATTCGCCTCTCTTTGAGCCACTATACCGCCTCATTCTTGGTGGCCAGAAGGGAGGGTAGGAAAGAGAGGAGACAGAGGACAGTGTAGGCGAAGTGAAGCAGCAGTTGAGGGAGGCGAAGGAGAGGTTGGCAGCAAGGTGGAAAAGGTAGGGGTTAAGGAAGGAGGAGAGAGGGTTCATAGTTTATAAGAGATGAGGAAGATGAGGAAGTTGAGCGTGATGATGTGGAGTGAGGTAAGGGTATTTTAGAGATATTAAAGAATTTAAGTGGTGGATGCATGAACCTTTGGGTCAGGGGGTGGAGGCGTGAGAAAAATGTCAGTGAAGGAAACTCAGATCTCTAAAATTGGGGGCTCAAGTACTTTTACCTTAAAGTAAAAATAAGTGTCAAATGTTAATGTCAATAATAGATGAGAGAAGACATCTTTGTTTTTGCAATTGACATATAAATATTAGTACGCACTTCACAAATAACCAAATAATTTGTTTGTAGTTGAATATTTGAGACACAAAAAAGTGTCTTTTTTTATTTGCGCAATTGAGTTATCCAAAAAAAATGCACGCGGAGAGAAATTGTTCCTGGAAGGAAAAAGAGACTGAAAACAAAGGGTGTTGTCTTTCTTCCCTGCATCTTAATCGCAAGAACAAAAAACCGAACAAGCCCTCCGCCATGTGTCACAATCTTGTTAGTTTTAGCTTAGTTATGGGCCCAGATTGCTGGAATCCTCTATGGTCGGGTCTGTGTAGGATTTGGAGTGAATAAATTTTAATGATATGTATTAGTCAAAGGATTCTAACAGATGCAGGCACTTCAGTTCTCTCCTTTTCTCATATATTGTTCATGGCTTTGTTAAACGCCTATAATCATGGAATCCTATTCTTATCATAAACAAGACATGTGCCTTTTTAGCCTACTTTTTAAGATTGATACTTCATACTAAAACTTCTCAGGTCTATCGTTTCTGATTTTGGATTATCAAATTATTGCTTTGTACGAACATTCCGAAACTCATCCAATTGTGCATGCAAACATTCACATGCTCCAAAGATGTACGTTTTCCAATTGCGTAGTTAATAACTTAATATATGCAAAGTCAATCTGTTCAGTGATTAAATCAACTTAAATTCGTTGCAGGAATCTGGGTTGAGAGGTTTGACAAGCAAAAGACATATGAAGATATTGTTGAGATGGATGAGGGAAAGGCAAAAACTTCGGCTAATTTGTAACCATGAAGGACCACACAAGCAATTTCTCTACACTACTTGGTTTACCAATCCTAAGGCGATGCCCCCTCTAAGGCACAGAAATAACACTGGATCTTCGGATAAAAGACCCGGTGGGAACTACTAATTGCAACGTTGGACTCAAAGAAAGTATCAGAAATGAATCAGAATCAACCAGTGATTTTCTTATCACAATAGTATCCAGGGTATTATTTTTAATGTATAGATAGATACACCACCTGAACTTATATTTAATCCTGATCTCGAAATGGACTTATTCTCCCTGTTATAATGTACACTAGCGTGTAGCGTGTTGTATGGAGATCATCATTTCCCATTGTGGATGTTGTACATTTATCCCTGCAAAGAGGGAGAACTCCATCTCGAGTGTCAGGGGTCCAATTTGTAGTAAAAATTTTAGGAGTAAACAAGCGATTGATCTGTTATATTACAGATGGTGTACCTACAATTAATCCTTTTTCTTCCTGAGAAATTCGAGATTTTCCAGCTTGAAGGCTGCTGTAAATGAAAGCAATTAACTTTCTATCTTGCTATGCGTTGGGAGGAATTTGTTATTACATATCTGATGCTAATAATAGATGAAGGGCCGTCTCCTTATGTACCATATCTGTTTCCTAACTTGAGACCTGTTTAAACATCGTCAACTGCTAATAAAAGCTAAATGCTGTTCATTAAACCTTTATAAATAAATCCTCTATTTACATCTCCCTACCACAAATCAAACTCTTCTTCATCCAAAAACAATCAGAAGCCATCACAATGGAACCTGTTACAATTGGATGCACCGGTGGAATCCTGGGAAATATCAGCTTCGCGATTTTCTGCTTCCGTCCAGTCTTCAGCTTTGTTCGGAGGCTCGTCAGCTGCCTTCAACATCCCACGCCTCCACCACGGCTAGCAATCACTGCTGGTTCCTTCATGCATTCTGGAGAGAACAGCAAAAGAGACTGAACAGTTGGTGACACTATTCTTGCTTCTTTCCTGTACACAAAGCCTTGGTAATTATGTTCCCCGCACCCCGCCCGCCCCCCCCCCACAAAATAAAAAGCAAGAAGAAGAAGGAAAGCAGCTCTGCAGCATAAAAAGGTCAAAAAAAATATACTCCGGGGTCTATCCACAACAATAAAACTACAGGGGGTCTGTCTGCAACTGCAACTAACCCGATTCTTATTTAAGATTTGAACAATGCAAATGTATGATAATTTCCATTGACGACCCAAGATGGTGTTTGTTCAGGCACTTCAAAATACAAATGAATGAACCTTTCCTGAGACTACACATTGATTGAAATCATCACATTTATTAGAACTTTGCAGTTTCTTTACAAGGGTTGCGTATTTACAGAAAGAATTGGATGATAAATAGTTACATCACCACAGTTTTTATGAAGACCGGAAATTGCGTTTGACAACAAGAAGTTACCACTCGTACGGAGAAGAAAAAGTCATGAAAGCTTTTAGTTCTCATCTTGAACTTCTTTTGAATCCAACTCCTTTGCTTTTCCCTCTAAATATCTCTGCAAAACCAGTAATATATACATGTTAAATAATAATTAAATTTGTCTATGATTCCTTATGTCGAAACAACAGTTGTTGACTTTAAAATTACCAGTCTCTGTTTCAACTCCAATATTTTTTGTTCCTTCTTCCGGGCAAAATATTTCATCGACTGCATATGAACGCAGAAAGTTAGATTTTGGAGTAATTCACGAATGAAGCGTTCAACTTCAGAGTAACCCTGTGTATGATTGCAAAACTGTGAATAGACCCCATGAGTGAATTTCTTTTGACTCTTTTACCCTCAGGAGGTCGTTTTGCCAAAAAATAATTCTCTTTCTCTGAGGATAAAAGAGTTTTTAAAAAAAACACTCAGATGATCTATCTGCAACAATAGAAACTACAGGAGGTCTATCCGCGACTGGGAGATAGTACAGGGGGTTCCAAACCGTGAATAAAAGTGAAGGTGAACAACAAGATGAAAGCAAATATTCTACCCCTCTTCGTTGAATCTCAATTGATCTTTGATATGATTCTCTCTTTGTTAATAGATTTTCCGGTGATATCTTTGGCATCCGACTATAATTTTTCCCGCGATAAATAATGATGGCATGACCTCGTCTTAGCTTCTCCACTGCAACCAGTAGCCCACCGCTCTCGATTTCAAGTAGCTTTGCAGTATAGTTAACTTGTTGAAGTGCCTTTTGCATTGTGATCACTTTAACAACTTCCCTATGTTTCCAATGCTGGTGTATGCTCTCAATGGTACCATCATAGATTCCACGCCTCCCTGCAAAGAAAAGCGATTCACAATTTACCTTTAATGAAATTTAACATTGTGTTGGCTCAAGAAAAAGGGGTTAAATGAAAGATATTATTCAGAACCATAAGCAAATTTAATGTGCACATGGATGAGCTAGTCATAAAAAACAAGGCTTACTCAGTCAAAAGATATCTTAGAAATAGAAGATATATTTTAGAAGTAGAAGATATCAAAACATAAAGGACCCTGCATAAAAGGTTTAGTCCATAAGAATGTATACAACCACTCAGTTGCATAAGATATCATAGAATAAAAAATATGAGCAATACTACATAAACTCTTGTAAAAAGAGTAGTTGTACAAGACTCTTAAATAGATACTTTGAAAAATCAATTTTACATGGTAACATCGAGGTCTAGCATGGGAGTATTTACCAAGATGGTCATCAGGTAATTTTAGAGACAAGAGGAGAGATCTACATATGACTTTAACCAATTTAGAAAAAGCTTAGTATAGGATCAACAGGGAGGCTGTGTGGTTAAGCAGAAAAAACAAGTGTCTGATAGTGATAATTACAATCTGATATAGGTATACAGCACATGAAAGATTGATAAATAAATAACATAAAAGTCCTATAAGTAATTACATGAGCGACGCCCCGATGCCCATTCCCTATCATCTAGACTTACATGAAGAGTTGCATTAAGTACTCAACTATGCACTTTTATTTATTAATTAATTTTACTTCTTTTGAGAATAACTGTTCCCATTAGTTATGGACGGATGTAAGCATGTTTCGAAAGAAGTTCCTTGATGCGCAGTTTGCTAATTACTGACAGATGTCACTATTGTTCCATTGAGGGTTGAACCAATGAACTAACATTACTGGGGGCCAAGGAACCAATAATTTCCTTGTTTCTTTAGCATCAGTCACATATTGAATTTAATGAGAATATCCAGGAAGTCTCAAGTGCAGTTTGTTTGTTGAAGATGTTTGTACTAACTGATGAAACTAGTGCCTAATTTCATCCATCATCAGGACCAAAAAATTGGATGAAGGATCAGTTGGTGGTATCTTTTCTTTTCCCATTGAAAGAAAATAAATATCGAAAAAGAAGAGAATATTCAGCCAATATTTCACTTTCAAATAAAAACAATTAACTCCTTTAGTTTCTTCCACTCAGTGTACAAAATCATACCCAAGAAAGCTAGAAACCGTATCAATACTTGACTGCATGAAACAAAAGAAGGAAAAACTGATCCAATCAATGTACTGGTGCACAGATAACCATGTTAAAACTTACCCAGAAGCAAGAATTCATCCATCTTCAGGCCAATCTTTTGAAAAGATTGTCTTTCCTCCACTGTTAGAAGTTCTCGATCCACAGATTGTTCTGAAGGACTCCATAATGAATTAAGCTTCGTCAACTCTTGCTCTGCTTTATCAATCTTTAACTTGAGCTGCAATCATAAAAAGAAACAAATCACCAACTCAACAATAAGTGCATTTGCATTTAGCTCTGATGTATTTTATCAGATGTTACAAGTAAAAACCTACAATTGATAGCTTGTGCTCTTCATCTTTTAGCTGCTTAACCACATTTTGCTTTTCGGCTTCAATGTTGATCTTTTCACTGGAAGTTACACTATTCAAGGGAAGGTAATTGGCCTGGATCTCTTTGAATTCAGAAAAAGTTCCAACTTTGGTCGTTCCTTGTATTGATTCATTGATAGAATCGAATGCTGCGATTGCCTTTGCTCGAGCTTCTTCCTCTAGCAATTGTTGATCATGAAGCTCTATTTCTCTTTCATGAACAGAGCTTGCCACTTTGCCTGGGAGAAAATCTTTACCCCTATAAAGTATGATATAGAACTTGTTTCTTAATATCAATACTCCTCCTGTGAGACGCTGCATTCATGAGCTCTGTGTCAAGCAAATGAAGCTTCAGAGAGACAACAAAAGAATCATAACCATTTGAACAAAGATTCCAGTTCCTATTGATGCTACCATTAACAAAAAGTTCAAAGGACATATTACCTGATATTCCAGTAATAAATCAATTCATGAGAAATATAAGGATTCAAGTCACTTCCACAAATTAATTTTCTACCGTTTTATGATGGAAAGAGAAATTTTTACGTATAGCTATGCACTCCCTATCTTTTGAAATGTAACAGGTTCTAACAGGTTCCTTTGTGCAGACGGTAATGCAAAATTAAAAGGCCTGCAGTTTGGAACAGCTTTAACAATATCTCACAAGCTTGGGGAAAAAATCCAGTCCAATTATCAAACTCAAAGGGGAAAAACATAAATACAATTATTACAGTCTTTATTAATATAGATTGTTCCTGCATATTTATGCAATGCTGGAGGTAGTCACTTTCTTTTCTTTTTTCTTTCTTTTTGGTGCCCCTCCTTTTCCTTTGCAATAATATATGAGCTCCGCTACTCCGCTTTAAATACAAAAGTGAAGAAAGTCCATCTTTCGATCAATATACATTAGGAAAAGCAATTAATATAACTTACCTTCAGCTCTTGTCCCATCTGCTGATTGTTGGTATGTGGAATCCCTACTTTTATGGCAATCTTGGCTATAAGACATTTCTCCCACAGCTTTATTATAGCTGCAGCCAAGCCTTGAAGTTTAGTATTTTTACCTGCCATAAAGACGTGAAATGGGAAATGATAAACTTACAAGAGATTTTTTTAAGGCTCGTTGAAATATAATAAAATTACCAAGGGCAAAGTGAGTAGGTAATGGCCGAGCAATCTTCCTTAGATATGTCAACTCATCATCTCTCAGCTTCGGCCTCTCTTCAGGAGGACAGAGCCTAAATGGAGGCTTGAATCCCGGAACAACTTCCGGAAGCAAATCTGCATCTACAGGCAAGGGCTTTTTATACCACCAATCGACAAACCGAGGCCCTAAACTATCCAATAATCTGTTTGCTTCCCTCACATATAGAGATTCATTAGTAGATCCAACATCATTATCTAATAGCCAATTCATGCTTGTAGTCTTTGGAGGCCCAAATTCTATATCCTTTTGAAATAGTTTTGCATTCGACTGATAGCGATAGACAACAAGAGCATCTTTCTTGCTCAAAACAACTAGGCCTCCAGTCTTAATCTGGTCAGTAAATAGCACCATCGAATTATATAAATGATTGAAAACTTTGAGGAGAACTTAAAGAATTCAAAAAGAGTTTACTATACAATGTAGAACCGCTAATATGCTATTTAGCTCATGATAAACCTCTCATATGGTCTACTGCTGTAAGAAGGAGCGTTGAATGAAGTTGCTAAGCATAGAGATTCAAGGAGTCACTAACTCCTTCAAACAAATTGATTACGGCATAACTTTGTGAAGCAAAAACACTAAAAAACTTATCTTTTCTTCTAAGACAACCTGTAGAACTACAATCTATCAGTACAAGCACTTATGGGTTTATTGCTTTATGTTTATTAAGCTGAGTCTATTATCAAAATCATTCACATTTGCACATATAGTAGAAGCATCCCTTCGGATTAAGCACATAGCGAAATAAACTTAGAAGCATTGAAGAATCAAACAATCAATAGCGTCCAAAACTAATTTACCTCTACGATTTCTCTCGCCCTATCCAAATTCCGGCACAATGGTTCCACAAGCTTCACCATAACAAGCTCCTCTTTCCTCCACCCTTTCAAAATCCCATCCACCACCTCTTGAGTCACTCCGGCCTTCTTCGCCTTCACCCACTTCCTCAACCCCCTCGCCTCCACCCTCAACCTCTCCAACTCCTCCCTCGGAAGCTCCATCTCCGCCCTCGTCGCCACTCTCTCCCTCTTCTCTCTCCTGAACACCATTCTCTCCTCCACCCTCGCCCACGGAACACTCACGCTCCCCTCCTCTCTAAACTCTAAGACCTGTTGGACCAATTCTCGTTCGGGTTCGGCTTTTCTGAGGTTTTTGATGCTGTGGACTATCTTTTTCATGGCTTGGCGGCC